TCATTATATTACCCCTTTAATAGTTAAAGGGTCTTACGGTCTTATTCATATTCAGATCAAAAACTTTATTTCTTAAAAGGATTTAATCCTTTACCTCTCAATGAAAAATTCAAGAAGAAAATAAAAATTCTCGTGAATTCTGTCCATAAGTCACTTAGAAATTGAAAAGTTGGATTATGAAATTGCAAAACATAATTTTTGAATTGGATCAAGACTTCCAACTGAATAAGTATGAGTAAAGGATCCATGGCTGAAGATAGAAAGTCAATTTCTAATCGTAACTAAATCTTCCATTCTTGATTTGTAGAGAAAAAAATTGAAGCAAAATAGCTATTAAACGATGACTTTGGTTTACTAAAGACATCGACGTATTGTTTTAGCTCGATGGAAATAAAATCATTTTCCTTAATATCCTCTCAAATAGAAATAGAGAACGAACTAACTAGAAAGATTATTAGAATCACCTTATTCTAGAAGGATTATCTATAAAGCGATTCGTTTTGTCTGTTTTCATCTCTACTTACCGAAAAGTACTTCGCTCCCCTTTGCATGTACAGAGGATTTAGGTGATCACATCACTGGCTTGACGTACCATTCTTAAACAAGTGAAGTTAAAAAGGCATATAGAAGAGCATTTCCAAGTTCACATGAGAATGATAACAAACTATTTGCAGATTCAAAACAAGGAAAAAGTTCCCTGGCTAAATCCCTAAATATATATGATAGAACCTGGAAAAAGATTGATTATGGAATATATTTTTAATATTTGTTGAAGCAATGATCCACATTGATTTTGGATTGAAGAGCAGGTAACAATATTGCATATTCCTGCATTTGAGTCCACCTATCTGGCAAGGCTTGATGATTTAAGCCAGAGAGGCTATGTGTTTTGAGTTTGACCATTCTGTACTTTCGCTGCTACATGAAATTGAAGAACTAGTTTACGTGAACTGATTTCTATGAATGCATTGTCAGATTATACCCCAGTCCATTTGCTCTAGATATGGCCTTGCTATTGGTGCTACTGCGGCCCCAATGGTTCGCATCCTAGTCTGGATCTGTTTTCCAGTTGCATATCCAATAAGCAAGGTACACCTGTTAGTTTAAAAATAGCGTCCCATGGTTCAATAGTTAAGAGGTATTACTGGATGAATTTTTGCACATTATTGACTTACAGCTATTTCTGTAATACCCAGTTATTAGACTTACTGCTTGGAGATGGGCATAGAGCTCTGTTTCGTCGAGCGGAGTTGAAAACCCTAGTGAATATGCATGGCAACGAGGTATGGAGGAAATACAAAATTTGACTTGTGTTTTTGTACAGAAAATTTTGACACCTTACTTGACAGATAGACGCATGGCATAAAGTCATTGACTCGTTTAAAAAAGGAAACAGTTTTTGATAGTTTCCACCAATCAAAACCTGCCAACTGAGATCTGTCAAAGGGGGTGGCAGTATTTTTCTGTACAAATGGCTTTATTCTTTTTTGAATGCCCCTTTCGTTCCTTTTATTATGGTTGAATTGCCTTATTGATTTCATAATATGTATTACTGCTTCTTAAAATATTTATTCATTGTGTATCATTATGATTGAAACTTTGTTATCTGTGGTTCTCACGTTTACTGTGCTACTTATCTTCTTTATGCACTGCTTTTAAACAGGCAGGTAAAGGTGGAGAACTGACACATGACGAGACAACAATTATTGCAGGGGCGCTTGAACTCTCTGATAAAACAGCTAGTGATGCCATGACTCCTATATCCGAAACTTTCACAATTGATATAAATGCAAAGCTTGACAGGTAGAGTATATCTTGGCCAGAGTAAAAATCCAGATACTTTGACCTCATTTTCTAATGTTGATATTTTGATTTGTTTTGGTATAGGTTCTTAATGAATCTACTTTTGGAGAAAGGACATAGCAGAGTGCCAGTCTACTATGAGCAACCTACAAACATTATTGGACTTATTCTGGTACTTAAATCCATTACTGTGCTGATTCATCAAGTGATTAGTTCTTTTTTTCAATTTGTAAACATTGCTTCATCTCTTGGATGGGAGAATTCTTCAAGTAGATAAAAGATCTCTTTTGTGCAGCAACTTCACTAAATGATCGCCATTATAAGTTTTGTTTCTGTGCTGGATTCAAACTCTTTTTTCCATTTTGACTCCTCCTGCCTCCTTTAGTTAGAGATAGTTTGGCTTTGTGCTGTACCACAGCAAAAACTATCTGGAAGATATTTATGGTGACTTGAGACCTGATAAAACTCTCTGATAGCTATATTACTGCAATAAGTTGGAAAAAATTCAACTTGGTAATCTTTAAGCTATGAGATGGTGCTTTGAGATAAATTTGATGTGGTCTTACTTGGCCTCCGTTTGGAAAAATTTATAAATCATTTATAAATGGTCAAACTTCATTTTCAACCTCACATTTCAATAACTTACGAATACTATTCACTTATCCACTATTCATTTTTATCTATTTAAAAATTATGCCCCTATTCGGGGATTAAAATCAAATATTTAGTAGATTTTGATAAGAGTCGATGAAATGTGTGGTTGAATAGTTGTGGGTCTCATAAAATGTTTGGTTAAAATTAATTGTTGACTTTGACTTAAATTAAAATCTAGATTTTAATTTCTACCAAACTGGGGCTAAACCATTTATAAATTATTCCCAAACGGGGACTTGGTCTGATCCTACTTTGTTGAAGACGTAGAGCCATCCACAAATTCATGTCATTGAGTTTTTCCCCCTTATAAATTCGGTTATCATCATAGACTGCGATCAGCATGTGGAGATAGATATTCCAAGTTTTGATTAATCTGATTTAGTTTATCTATTTTATTTATTGCCTTGTAGGCTAAGAACTTGTTGACCATCCATCAAGAGGATGAAGTCCCCGTGAAGAGTGTTACAATTCGTAGAATTCCAAGGTACTGCGGTGTGGAACAATGATGTCTAATACTGAATTTGATCTTCAGTTGCTTGAAGTAGTGAAAATTATATGTAAATCATTATCCTGCTTTTTACCTTTGTATCCATCACAGTATTCTCGCATATAATAATTTTCAGATCATTTAGGCATTTCTACATGTACCTTGTTTTGGCACTCGTCGTTCAATTCTGAGACCTAAAACTGATAAAGAATTAATTTTGTAATTATTTGTCTATGTGCATGCACACATAGACACAATGTGTCCCAACGTATTTCTTCTTCTGAATTTGCTGTATTGGGTGTTCCTGGATAGGATACTCCTGATATTGCTTTTGAACTTGTTCTTTTTATACGATTGACTCTTAGGGTTCTCGAAACTCTGCCGTTATATGACATCTTGAATGAGTTCCAGAAGGGTCACAGCCACATGGCTGTTGTTGTACGACACAGCAACAAGGTGACACAACAGCCAGATAGCACAGAACCTGTAAACAGTAAGATTTTTTTGACTAATTAGCTTGACAATATAAAAGATGCTTCCTTTATTCAACAAATTCCCTGTGCACGTATTTGTAGATACATTCAAGGATGTGAAAGTAGACATTGATGGTGAAAAGCCCATGGAGAAGAGTGTAAAGACCAAAAGACCACTGCAGAAATGGAAGAGTTTCCCAAATAATGGAAACAATTCCTTCAAGGGTACACCTAAGAGCAAGAAGTGGACGAAAAACATGTATGCGGACATCCTACGAATAGATGAAAATCCTCTGCCAACGTTACATGAAGAAGAAGCAGTTGGAATAATTACCATGGAAGATGTCATTGAAGAGCTTTTACAGGTGAAATCAAATTTCTCTTAATACTCATTGTCTTGATGATATACTATCTATGTAGGGCTGGCTCTGTCTATCTTAAACCTTTTACTTCAGATTCTTCCACTTCAATGAATGCTATATATCTTAAACTCATGATAACCTCTTGCAGGAGGAAATCTTTGACGAGACTGATCATCAAGTTGAAGATTCATGATATTGGCTCGTTGATGCCTATTGTATGTATCGTATAGACAAAAAATGGATGTTAATGCCAGTAATTTAGGCTACAGTTGTGTTAGAAAGATTTTTGATGTTATTTTTGTAAACAGTTGTAGCGAGACAGGACATTGTATCAATGTCGAAGAAACTTGGCCATTAGTTGTTTTGAGAGGAAAATATTGTTTCTTAGCGTGGTGTTTTGAATCTGATCATTGCCAGAGGGATTGTGCTACTTTTACATAAAAAAAATATACATAATGAATTACATATTATGACGTGGAGGAAAATATTGGATGAAAAAATTGATTGTGTTTTAAACTAACAAATGATACCATTATATAAACTGACATTATGTAATCTATTATATAAATTTTGAAGTACATGTAGCAAGATCCTTGCTAAGAGGCTTGCACATTTTTTTTCTCTTTTTGGGAAATGTGAAACTGCCGATTGCAGTGCTTATGACTACTTCTATGACATTATCTATGATGACGAAACAGCTTCTCCCATGGAAAGAAAATGGTGCTTATGACACTTTCTATAACAAAAAAGAGAGTTCTCAAGACTTTCTGGGTACAAGAACTTGCGTGTCCGTGTGCTACAATAACATGCCATGAATTAAAAAATCACCCTATTGCCGTGAGAATTTTCACAATATTGATCAAAAAAAGATGAAAAACAAACATCAGCTCAAGGTATCCATTAGAGGAGTACGTCTAAATAGCAGCACATGTATTTGCCCATACAAAGGCAATTGATAGTAGAGTGAGATCAGCACTCACAGAAAGTAATACTAGCTTCAAAATAAAGCAGCTAGAGAATTGCCATCTTCTTGGTTCTAGATACACTTTAGTACAAGGGCGAATCCAAATTTAACAAGACCTAATTTTCTAGTTTCTGCACTCGATAGGATTTTAATTTAAAGGAAAGTGTGAAACAAAAGAAAAACTGAATACAGTCAGTACCACATTCTTAAAACTATTTTCATATCAAAATTACAAGAAAACTGAACTACTTACAAGTTCAGTCTATTCCCTCCAAGGCATCAACTTTGCAAGTTGACTTGTAGTGTCCTGTCTGATTGCATCGACTACAGTGGACTGTATGCTTCTCACGGTGAAGATCCTCCACGCACATTCGCTTTTTCTCGGGACGCCCAGGAGGACGACGAACCTTGGGAGGCCGTACGATCCGTATTTCATCATCCATGGTGGTTTCACCTTCCTTCTTCCATTCAATTTTGCCAGGGATGGGTCGTATCTCTTCTGCATACGTTTCACAATAACTAGCCAGGGTAAAATACCTTTCAGTGAAGGCATAAACATCCTTTTTAGAATAAACGAGGGCTGCAACAGCATGTGAACATGGTATTCCATACAGCTGCCAATCTCGGCAAGAACAAGAACGGGTTCCGATGTTTACAATGTCTGATCGCTCTGTTGATAGAACCTCAAACTCTACTTCATCTGATCGAAGGACTTGATACTTAGAAGCACGGTTCGTTGCCTCAATAATATGCTTCTCAGAAGACGGAGCAAGCATGGAAAACCACGACTTACACTTTGCACGCCTTTCCTCAAATACTGTCATTAATTTACTCTGTATCCGCTCAATCACCTGAATTATGGGCAACTCCTGTGCTTCAAGAATCCAGTGATTAAACTCGTCAATATTTGAAGAGAGGTGACCATATCGTGTTCCTTCAAAATATATCAATGCCCAACGAGAAGGTGGATATTGTTGAAGCCAATTAGCTGCTTCTGAAGAAACTTCCTCAATTTCAGCTATGATTTCTTTGAACCTAATTGTTGAAGTGGCATATGCAGCTTTCCAGAGGAATTGGATAAGCCTTGGATTCTTGAACTCTTTACCAATGCAATCGCTCAAGTGCCTCATACAAACTGCGTGAAAAGAATTAGGGAATTTCCTTTTTACAGCATCCATGAGAAACTTTTGTCCATTCGATAAAAATGTAAGCCGTGGTATCATCTCTGTATTCATTTCCAGTGCCTTGTGCAACTCTGACAAGAACCACATCCAACTTTCATCATTTTCAACGTCAACAACACCAAAGGCAAGAGGAAACAATCCACCATCAGCATCAAAAGAAGTGGCTGAAAGTAATGTACCAAGGTATTTGCTTTTAAGCTGAATTCCACCAATACCAACAATTGGCAAGCACCCATTTAGAAACCCATAAATAGAACCATAAAAGGAAACAAAGAGACGCTGAAACCGATTATCAGCAGCAGCAGTAAACACCTCTGCAATGCTTCCAGGGTTGGTCTTTTTAATTTGCTCACAGTATGCAGGGAGGAGGCAGTATCCTTCTTCAGAAGAACCATATATGGATTGAAGCCCCCGTTCCTTGGCTCGCCATGCCTGCTTGTATGGTATAGTTATCCCATATTGTTTATATACGTCATGCAAAATATCTTTTGGCTTGTAGTTTATGTTATCACGCAGCCGTTCCTCTATGAAATTAACAATCCAGTCCACAGAAGCCTGATGATGCCCGTTATGAGCATTTTTCCCACAAGTATGTGTTCCTTCGAGGCTTCTTATAGCAAAAGTTGGGGCATTAGGAAGCTTCACAGCTCGTATGTGCCATGGACAACCTTCTGCGGCACATTTTGCGATATACCGGATCAGATCACTTTTAACAATGCGAAGCTCAAAGTGCTGTGCAATTGCAGCTTCTTTAATTGCACTACGGAATGTCTTTACATCAGGAAACTCCTGACCGACAATGAAACTATGATCCTCCATGCCAGGGAAATGATAATCCAAAATCGATAAGTTTTTAATGCAACCATCCACAACTTAGCTTATTATTTAAGCTGCTACATAATAGGGTTCTCCAAATACAAGTAGCTCAACCCCCGGGGAGTTCTGAACTTCCTCATCAACAACAATTGACAGTAGAAACTCTGCAATGAATTAACACAAATATAAACATCTATCAATTATGCACAGAACCACCACACAGAACAGGTATGGTATGTATCTTCATCATATTTGGAGACTCATCATAAATGTTTATGTAGATAAATGCATACAAAATAAAAATAAAATGTAACTTACCTCACCTGCTAAGATGGACAAGTAGATTTATTAAAGAGATTAAGCCCCTGTTTGGTTCCACTAAGAAAGAGAATTAAAATTCAATTCAAAGACAACACTTAATTTCAACCGCACATTTAATGGGATCCAAAACTTTTCAATCACACATTCCATTAACTTTTATCAGAATCTAATAAAAATCTGATTTTTGTCTAAACCAAACAGGGGCTAAATCTAAAAGTAGACAATTCTTACTGGGAATAGAATGAACTATAATATCTAGAAAAAGTCGAATTCTTTCAAGAAATAAAATTGCCTTCATTTAAAAACCAAAACATTAAATTCTTAAAATACAATTCAGTGACAAGTCTACAACTGGTCTCAAGTGTTAAAATTTTAAATGAAGACAAAAATAAAATAAACGAATCATGCAAAATGACAGTAAAACAATAATTCAATACCAGCACATACCGATGAGTATATACATATAGATACATAATAGATGTAAATCTTGTATCTAAATGAGACGAACTGATTGCAATAGACTATAAAAGAAGATGCGAACGATTGAGCAAAAAAATTATAGGAATAAATAAATATATCATCAAATTGATATTGAATATTAAGTTATGATAAATAAAAAATCAAATAACTATATCATAAAATTGAATTAAAATAATTTGATCTGGGAAAGTGAACTGACCTTCAAGAGCCTGAGATTTTTGCTGTAGTGAAAAAAAGAATTGGGATTCTGACGAAATGTTAGGGCAGATTAGGTCAATTAGAGGTTAGTTTTGTCATTTCAGTAAAATTTATAGGGGACGTCAGAAGTCTTCTTTTTCCACGCAAGCCCAATTATTATTTCTTTTGCTAATAAAAAAAATTGGCTCCACAATATTTTTTAAATGTATATTGAAATTTTAATATCGCACTTATATTGCAAACATTTTTTTTACTAGATTTTGCTACTTATACATAAAAAAATGTATGTCATGAATTATATAATAAGATATGGAGGAAAAATATTAAATGAAAAAGTTGATTGTATTTTAAATTGACAAATAATAGAGTAATATGTGACATTATGTAATTTATTATATAAATCTTGATGTAAATGTAATAAGATATTTTTTTTTAATATACTTTTATTATCAAATTTTCATAATTAGTGTATCAAATAGTGATTTTCGTCCAAAAAATATATATATTACGTAGACAGACGTACTAAAAATTTATTTATCTCCCTTATTTCGAAATTTGTAAAAAATAACATGCAAAAAAGTGCAGTGGCAGACGCGAACATTTTGAGTTAGGGACACAATCGAACTTACAAAAAGGTTGCGATTAATTTTATAATCGAACATTTACATCCAAAAAAAAAAAAAGCATACTTCATGTAAATTTACATTTGAATTTTACATAGGGTATGACTTTTTTTGATATAAAATTTCGAAAAAAAAAATTATGTGATACCCATTTAAAATTTCTAATAAAATGATGTAAATTTAAAGAAAATATTATTTAAACGTCTCTTTTTAGTATGCACGTTTGATGTATCTTAAACTATTTTAGATATATGTTTGGACTATTCGTTACGTCTATGATGTAGTTCTTGACGTAGACAATTTGTATATTCGACTAGCAAATGATCTTTTGAGAATTTTTTAAGTTAACATGTTATCGAAATTTTAGAAATATTAGTTTTGAATTGTCTATTTTAACAAGTCGTAATATTTTTTACGGTTAGCCATTTCTCACATCATTAAAATCGTAGAAAACTATATCGTGAGTACTTCGAAATGGTATTAAGAATGTAATATTTTGACTCCATTTAACATCCCCACAAGGACTTCGAAAATTGAGGAAAAAATAAAATAAAATAAAATAATGTCCAAAAGTTGGGGTCACGTAATGTGTCCGTTTGCCCCTTCATTCAGAGTACATGAACAAAAATAATTAGAGAGAAACCATTAGTAGGGACCATATTTGTTATTCAATGAAAGATTAAGAATAAGAATTTGACAAAAAGGGGAAGGGGTATAAGTTTGACAAGAAGCAAAAATGGAATTAAAAAAAATCGTGATGTCAACAGTCACAGTTGAATATTTTTTTGGAATTTCCAATTAAAATGTTTTTTAAATTATTTTAAAATAAATTAAAAAACGCTTTTTAACGCCAAGGCTCGCCCACTCACACTTTTTAGAACGCTGATAATATTATGCCCTCGTTTGGTGTAATTAAAAAGCAGATTTTTAATAAATTTTAATAAAAGTTGATCAACAGTATGGTTAAAAAAATTATGACCCCCATCAAATATGTAATTAAAATTAATTGTTGACTTTAATTTAAATTTTAATCAATCATTTAGCCTGCATCAAACATGGACTATATATGTTCGATCAAGTATGTCGAATATCAAATGTATTTTCTTGTTGCAAATAATAAAAATTATACATCAATGAAAGTGGTAATGTTATATACATTTGTCTCCTTTTATGAGAATTGTTAACATCAAAATCCACCAATTGCCATACGTACGAGAATCAGCGTGTGGTCGACTTGTACAAGTAATCTACAAAAAAATTTAGTCGTCTAAAGTGGCGTTGATTGCTAGCGGAAGCACTCCGACATTCAAGTCAGCCGAAAATATAATACACATAAGCTCGTCTAAAGAGGTGCTAAGGTTACTTAGAAATTTAAAAGAAAGGAAATGTAAATAAATAGTTATTTATTCTATCAAGATGATCGCATTTTACATGTTGAGATAGAAATATATTTCCTGAATATTTTAGAAATAAAAAAATATGCTTTAAAGTTTACAAACTGTTGGCTTTTGCCTTTCTTTCTGCTGAAAGATCAACTCCAATGCAATTATACAAACTGCTTTTTGATTACAAATGATGAACAGCAGAGTAGAATGACTATTAGTTAACAGGGGGAGCTCGGTAGTAGGCCGGAATGGTAGCAGGGAAGAACATTTGTCTCACACCCTCTGCCCTTATTATAGGGAAAATAATTCCGGATGCACCCTGTAAATAAGTAACATAAGTGGTCAGAATGTGTACCTTAACACTAAAAATAAAATGAAAACGAGTCAAGATACTCACAGAAAGCAGTCTAGCCCCTAACCACACTCTTCGGGGTGAAGGAAATGGGAGTAATAAGCGGCCAACACCATAGACAGCCACGGCAAAAAAGTGGCATACGAGGCTCAGAGGGCGAGGATTCAGGCCAGAAAGTAAAGCCACGGGACCATTAGAGAAAACCCCTCCAAGGCTCAAGTAATCAAAACATGCTTGACGCATTTCCTTCCTTGCTTGATCAGGTGATGCACAAAAAACCTTATAAAGTGCCCCTGCCAATGTATTTATCGTAGATGCCACAGGCTGCAAAAGAGCATTCAATTTCTCAAGTTGTTGAAATTAAAACTATATTCCACTCAACCTTTTTTGGATGTTCAATCTACAACTCACCTTTCTAATGGTGTAGAAAGATTCAAGATACTCGCAAAGTTTAGATGCATCATTTAGGTCATGTATAGGTCTAAGAAGATCTCGGAGGACAACGATATCTGAAAGAGCTACAGTCATTCCTCCACCAGTTAAAGGGTGTCGCATGTTGAATGCGTCCCCCAGTAGAATGGCACCGGGGGTGGGCTGAGGATTTGCCGGCATGCTTCTATTTGGCATTGTTCGTATGTTTCCTTTGTCAATTGCTGCAATGAATGCATCATACAGCTGAGGAGGAATCTGAAACATATATTTATCAGTCAGTTGAAACGCGCTTATGCAGAACAGAAATTAGCATCTGAAACATGTTAAACGAATTAGGGGTACCTGTGGAGCCACCGCAGTCTTCAAATAATTGGCCATTTCTCCATTAGCAATGGAAGGCACTTTTTGTCCAGGGACATCGACCAAGCAACGAACTTCTGTACTACTGATTTGATAAAGTAAGATAGGTGAAGGGTCGGCCAGAACAACGTGTCCATGATTTGCACTTGGGAGGTCACAGTTTTCCAGGATCAAACCAACAAAACATGAAGGGATGTCCACCTACATCATATAAAGACTTCGTTTTAGAGGAGAAAATTGATGCAATGAAATTTGTGAACACGGGAGTTTAGCAAAATGAGTCGTATTCACCTTGGGAGTACAAAGAGAGCGTCTTAAGTTTGAAAAACAGCCGTCACACACAATGGTGAGAGGAGCATGCACCATCATTTCTTGGCCATTTTTAGTCTTATATTGTACTCCTTTGACAGTTCCGTTTTCTTCAAGCAGCGATGTTACTGTCCCTTGTTCCAATCTTACACTGAGTCAGAAAACAAGTAACATCAGTAAAAAAAAAAAAAAAAAGTCTGTAACTATAAAAATTGTCGATCTCCAATAATTTTCACTGATACACGACATTATTGCAATAGACTTATGTAACAGCACCTTCTAAGGTACCTATGGAGTAAAAACTTCAACATTTAAATTATGAAGTAAAAAAAAGGCGTACTTTGGAAGAGTTGCAGCCTTTTCTCTCATTCTTTGTATGAAACGGCCATTATGAAAACTTCGTCCAGAAACATCTGAGTGAAATTTCTCGAGGGGGTAAGACAGCCTAGTATTTTTACCATCCTTGAAAAGGGCGTAACCAAAAACTCGTTGAGCATCAATGTCATTCAAACAATCTGCAATCACCATAATTTACAAAAATCAACACCTAATCAAAGACGAAAGAATAGACAACAAAAATAAATGTTGGCAACTGTCTTACTCACCTTCAAGACCTAACTCAATTAATTTCAAATAGCCTCCTGGTTGTAAAAGTTCACCTACAATTCGATCTGGCTCAGACAAGTCTCTTTCTATCACATGGACTTGTCGCCCTTCCTGCAATTAGTAACGGAAAATGAAGTAGTCGATTAGATCAAAACTCGTTTCATGTGCAAAATACCAAGCCTAAAGTAATTAGTCATATCATGGAGCCTTTAATTTCGATTTCATACTCTTATGTGCTTAATTTGAAAAGGGACAAAAACATTTGTATATATCCTTCCCACAACTAATCACTTTTTCACATTCAAAGCTACTAACTGATGCAAATCATAGACGTATACATAGGAATCAGGATTTCCTTTCATTTTCTCTCTCTGTTGCTGTCAACAATCTACACCGACTACACGTAATATAATGAAATTTGAAAAATAGTTTACTTGCAAATTTGTGCCAAAAATAAAAAGACGGACTGATTTTCAATGCTCTTTTAGCAAAATATCGTTCACTCAACGTAAATATTTGATTGGTGGAACATCCAAGGGGACAGGGAGGCGGGGTTGGAATGATCTAAACTCCTATATCGAATCAAAATGAAGTTGCACCATCAACATGAAATTTTTTTTAGTTAGGGCGTGTTTGATACGCCTTATTTTCCAGGCAACTAGGAAAATATTTTCAAATTTCCACTTATTTGGAAGATTGATAGAAGAAATTTTCCACAGAAAATATTTTCC